CAAAAGATTAAGGATGCATATTGTTAGTTCCAGAGCAATCACTAAAAATAAAACAAAGTATTGCTAGAAAGCCAATAGAATAAATTAAACATTAAAAAATATTCAATTAACACAAAAGAAGGCAGGAAAGGACACACAGAGAACAAACAAAAACCAAACTAAAACAAAACAGAAGGCACAGTGGGTAACCCAATGATCAGTAATTACATTAACTGTAAACACGACTACCCTCTATAATAATAAGAAAAACAACTCAATTAAAAGGGGCGAGAGACTTGAATGGAACATTGCACAAAAATATATATCAAGAGCCAAAAAACACATGAAAAGTTGCTCATCATTATTAGTCATTGGGGAATTAGTCATTCAAATTAAAACCACAAGGTTAAAATATTGAATACCTATTGAAGGACAGTTCTCCAGGTGGCCTTGGATAGACCCAGTTCTCCCTGTAGAATGTGTTGTGCATTTAATGGCCTGATATAGAGAGGAACTGGCTGGAACAGGCTGGCTCCCAGCCCTCCTTTAGAAACAGATGTCTGTCAGTGCTGTAGCTCAGAGTGTCATATTGCCCCTGAGGTGTATGGCCTAGGGCCCCTGAGACAGAAAGCCCAGGGTAGACCGCCTTTCAGGATGCCTCATTGGTGGTGCAAGTAGGGCACAAGTAGCTGAGACTTCATCTGTCCTGGGCAGCGTTCTGAGCCTTGGGGGATCAGCTCACAGGGAGTTCTAGGTTTCTGTTGTTCCTTGTTGCCTGTGAGTGTTTTTTGTCTCCTCAGACTCACACAAGCTGGTAATCAGTGAACAGCGAAACTACTTTACAGTTACTAGAAGGTTAACATGTAAAAGACTGACAACACCCAGCGTGAATCAACTGGAACTTTAAATCAGTTTGGCCATGTCTTATAAAGTTAGACATACACTTATCAAATGACACAGCAATTTCACTCCTTGGTATCTACCCAAAAGAAATAAAACCAGGCCTATACGCAGACTTGCACGTGAATTTCAAAGGAGCTTTGAATAGTTCCAAACTGGAAACAACCCCAATGCTTGTCAATAGATGAATAGATAAACAAACTGAGATATGGTCATACAATAAAATTTCACTCAACAATAAAAAAGAATGAACTATGGATTCACGAGCATGGATGAATCTCCAAAACATGCTAAATGAAAACAGTTAGATACAAAATAATATATACTGTATACTTTGATTCATATGAAGTTCTAGGACTAGCAATACTAATCCACAGTGCTAGAAATTAGATTATCCCCACCCTGGGTTGGGGTGGAGACCAATGGCAGCGAGGCATGAAAAAACTTTCTGATGATAGAAATCTATATTTTCATTCAGTGGCGATTATATTGGGACATACATTGGTCAAAATTTGTTGAACTATATGTTTAAGATGTGTGCATTTTTTTTTTTTTTTTTTTTAGACGGAGCCTCAAGCTGTCCCCCTGGGTAGAGTGCCGTGGCATTACAGCTCACAGCAACCTCCAACTCCTGGGCTCAAGCGAGTCTCCTGCCTCCACCTCCCAAGTAGCTGGGACTACAGGCGCCCGCCACAATGCCCGGCCATTTTTTGGTTGCAACCATCATTGTTGTTTGGCGGGCCCAGGCTGGGGATTCGAACCGGCCACCTTAGGTATATGTGGCTGGCGCCTTAGCAGCTTGAGCCACAGGCGCCGAGCCAAGATGTGTGCATTTTACTGTATACAAATTGTAGCTCAATAAAGTTGATAAAATCATGCTTTCAAATTCATAAGGTACTTAGAAATAAACCTAATAAATATGAGAAAGTCCTATACCTACCGAAATATAAACATTATACAAAATGCTATTGGAAATAAAATATAATGAAGAAGACCTAAGTAAATGAAGAGATATAGTGAGTTCATGGGTAAGAAACTTTACTATCATAAAGATATTAATTCTCCTGAAACTGACTTAGAGAGTTGATACAACTAAAGTGAAATTCTGAAAAAGGACTTACATAGGTCTTGACAAGTTGATTCTGAAATTTATGGGGAAGAACGGAAGTCAAGAATTGCCCAGAAACCAACGGAAAAAGAAATAAATGGGTACTCTCCCTTACAGAGGTTATAACTTAGTATAAAGCTACGGTAATGAGGAGGTGTAGTATTCAAACCAGAATAGACAAACTGACCAATGGAACAAAATAAATTGTCCCTAAATAGCAAAAGGAAGGACTGTGCACCGGTTTCAGATAAAACTGGATCTTGTTTTCTATCATACACAAAATCAATTTCAAACAGATTTAAATCATACATGTCAAAATTAAAACTAAAACTTTTGGAGGAAAGAATTGGAGAATCATTTCCTTCCTTGGGACAAAGAAGGATTTTTAAGCTTTTTTTTTTTCTTCCATTTTTGCCTGGGGCTGGGTTTGAACCCGCCACCTCCAGTATATGGGGCCTTTCCCTACTCCTGAGCCACAGGCCCTGCCCAGAGAAGGATTTTTAAAACAAGGCATGTAAAATGCTCAACATAAAAGAAGATTGACAAATTAGATGTTAAAATGAAGAACTTTTATTTAACAAAATAGGCTATAAAGGAAGTGAGAAGACAAGCCATAAACTTGAAGATGGTATTTGTGGTGGTGCATGTGAGTGACAAAGTAGTAATATCCAGAAATATAAAGAACAGTTATGATTCTATTAGCATAAGGCAAACAAAAATGGCAAAAGAAAAGGAAAGACATACAGGTAGCAAACTTCAACAGTAATAATCAAAGTGCCAAACAAGACTGAAAATGATTTATTACATCATTTAACTGTTGAAAATTAAGACACTGAAGAGGATATCTTTTATATATTGCTGGTCAAAATATAAATTGTTAGTATAACAGTGTTAGAAAATCATTTTCTGTTATTTTCTGAAGGTGAATGTTCGACCCAGAAATGCCACATCTAGTTGCATGACAAAGAAATTGTTGCCTATGGGCATCAGGGGACTGGCAGAAAAATGTTCATAGTATAACCTTTGTAACAAAACACACAAAACAATGACTGAATTACATAAAGGGTGGTATAGTCACACAACAGCACACTAGGAATCCAACTGGGGGAATCTTAGTTACATAATGCTGAGTAAAAAGAGCAAGGCCCTGGGTGACACATTTTATGGAAAAAACCAAGAAAAAAACCCTTAGTATTTTAGGTATACGCATGTATGGAAAAAAACTGAAAAAAAAAATGAAAGGAAGGAAATTACACAGCTTCAGGGAAGATTTTACTTCCGGGGTGACAAGCAGAGGCCAGCATAGGATAGGATCATGGAGGTGGATGTAAATTACTAGTAATGTTTTAGTGTGGGGGCCAGTAGGTGGGTCTGTGGATATTTCACTTTCGTTATATTACTAAGTAAATAATGAAAGTTATATGCTGTTTGCAAGAGGTGAACCTGAAACATAAGGTAGGACATAAATTGAAACAAAAGAATGTGTTGAGGTGATGGGTTGGATCAGAGTGCATTATTCATAGCAGGGGTGAGTCATTCTTCACGAAATTATTTCAGTGTATTTGTACATAGTAGTTGAGTCATGATATAAAATATTAATATATTTCTTATTTTGAGTTGTGGCTAAAAACAAGTTTGATAGCTAGTACTCCAAAGAGCCTCCTGCTGATGTATACCAGCAGATATGCACAAAAACGTTCACAGTGGGGGGGGGGTTGGCACGACAAATCAAAAAACACATGTGAAGTATTCATAGGAAAATGGGGAAATATACATACGGTGGAATACTGTACAGCTCTGCAAAAATGAGCAGAGCTTCAGTCGCCAAAACAGATGAATCTCAAAAACAGAATATTGGGGAGGAAAAAGCAAGTCACAGAAACATTACAGTGTCTAAAACGTAAAGGGAGGCAAAACTAAACAATAGCTTAGGGATACACGCATACAGTAATAAGGAAAAGCAAAGGAATGATTAGCACACCCAGGACAAAGTAACCCAGGTTACTTTGGGGATTGGATGGGGTTAGGGATGGACAGTGCTGGGACCAGCACAGGTCGGTGGGGTCTTTGATGTACTGGGGGACACACAAAGATGTATTTTATTATTGTTGCTATTTCAATCATTAAATATATGCTGTACATCAGCAGTCTCCAACCTTTTTGGCACCAGGGGGCTGGTTTCATGAAAGACAATTCTTCATGAACAGGGTGGGTGAGGAGGTAGGTAGAGCTCAGGGGGTGATTTGAGGGATGGGGAGTGGCTGTAAGTACAGATGAAGCTGCTTTGCTTGACCACCCACTGGCTGTGCGGTCAACTTCACTAAGTTTCATGGGGGGTGAATTTTCCAAAGATGGGGTGGGAGCTGGGGGTTTTCATGGGGTCGGGGGGTGGCTCTCTGCAGCTGGGTTCCTAATAGGCTGCGGGCTGTGGCCTGGGGGTTGGGACTGCAGATATATATATCCTTTTGCATGTTATGAGAAACAGCTTGTGCTCTCTAGTTCCTGCTCATTCTTCTGTAATAGAAGATTGCCTTCTAAGTCTTAGGATTGGCATCCCCAGCAGGGACAGTTTTTCACCCTCCTGTCCATCTTCCACACTGCTACCAGATAGGTCTTCCTAAATCACATCTGACATCAGACCACTGTCCTGCTTAAACAACTTCTGTGGCTCCCCATTGCCCAACTCCCAGCGTTACGCATTTCCCCCTTTTGAAACAGCCTTCCCCTCCATCACTTTCTTTCAAGGCCCACACCAACCCAGGAATTTCCATTTTCCCATCTGGGCTCACACTATAGCCCCTTTTGGCCCCTTACCTCTGAGACCTCCCAGTCAGAACTCTGTGACTGTAATGAGATGAGGTCACAAAGCCCCCGGGAAGAAGAGGCCTAGTTCTCAGAGAGAATTCTGGGAGCTCTTGAGCTGGAGTTGGGCTTTGGTGCTCAAGAGAGGTTCGGAGGAGACTATAGCTCCTTTCACCATGGTGAGACTTGACCACACAGCTCATTGGCCACTATGGGAGGAGAGACCTGGGACTCCACCCAGAGCCTGAGTGCCTGCCTGCCCAACCAGGCAAAAACTGTACAGTTTTGGTGAATAAGAGCAGGAAAGAGTGGGCAGTGGGAACACAGCAGAGACTGAGATGATGTTTTGCAGTCTGTTTGCACCTCACTCCATTTGCCCTAAAAGATTTGCACTGGGCTAGTGTGAGTAGGCCCTGCTCTCTGGGTTCAGGAGTGTGTGTGACTTTATCTGTACCTAAGGGTATAGAGCAAAGAGCATGGGTCTAAAGTGCAGGTTGGCTTGGTCAGTGACTATCAGGGTCACTCACTTCCCTCTGGTCCCTACTTAGGTGTGGCAGATGTAATGAGCATCAGTTTGCCCAAGGAAAAACAATGGAGACAGTCACGTCCACCCAGCCTACTACATAGGTGGTCATGAGCCCTAGTGAGATGGTGACAGTAAAAAGATTATGAAGTGTCAGGCACTATGCAAGTATGATTTAATGTCCCCAGGCTGCTTGTGTACTGGTGTGTGAAGGCAAGGTGCAGAAAAGACAAGACCCATTGATCTTGTAGAGCCCACGTCCCACAGTGGCCTTGGGTTTGGGGAAGGAGATGAAATCCAGATTCCTCTTATTGGTTTTGATTAATAGCATCCACCAAGATAAGGAAGTCCCTTCCCCTTCATAGTCCTAGAGTTTTCAAAGTATTTTTAAGGCCAGGAGTGATGGTTCACACCTGTAATCCTAGCACCTTGGGAGGTGAAGGTGGGAGGTCACTTGAGCTCAAAAATTTGAGACCATCCTGAGCAATGCAAGATGTCATCTCTACTATAAAAAAAAAAAAAAAAAAAAGAAAGAAAGAAAGAAAGAAAAAAATAGTAGAAAAAATTAGCTGGGAGTTGTGGCGGACACCTGTAGTCCCAGCTATTTGGAAGCAGAGGCAGGAGGATCACTTGAAGACAGGAGTTTGAGGTTGCTATGAGGTAGGCTGAGCCCACGGCAATCAAGCCCAGGTGACAGAGCAAGAACCTGTCTCAAAAAAACAAAGAGGTATTTTTAAAATTAGGAGTTACCTCACCTCTAAATTTTATTAATTGCTTTTCGTGCTAATTTAGATGACCCACTGTGGTAAATAACAATAATCAATTCCCCAGAGTTCAATTATCCCTATTTCTGGGGTGATCTTAGTCCAAAAGCATTCCTTGACAGATCACCGCTCTGTGTCGCTGCCTTTTGTGCCTGAGATCGGGCTTCCTTTGGCACGTGGGGGCCTACGGGAGACCCTGCCACTGTGCCAGCCAAGTGCACTGCATCCTTTCACCAAGTCTCAGGGATAGGAAGAATTCTCATTCCCATTTCACAGATGGAGAAATGGATGCCCCAGAGAGGTTAGATAACTCACTGGTGGCAGCAGGTGGGTGGGCACGTACTGGAACGGTTTTGCCCTCTTCCGCTCTCCTGTCACCCTGCCCCACAGTGTGAGGAGATAAAGGCACCCGTGCAGAAATGCACACAGAGCCTGCGGCACAGCAAGGAGGATCTGAACAAGATCAACCAGGCCATCCAGCGGCTGACCGTGGAGGTGGACAGCTCTGAGAGTCAGGTAAGGGGTGGGAGTAGGGGTGGCAGAGTGGTGGTGTCAGGAGGATGTCCATTATTTATGACAACCTTCTCTGCCAATCCTTGGACTGTGACTGTGTGTGCATGTGGTACTTACCTTTGCTTATAAGGACTCTGTATTTTAGGTGGGTAAGCAAGGAGCATGTAGGTCAATATATCCGAATGCAGATGCTTATTTGCATATTGTTGTCTTTCTCTAGGTATGTGTACATTTTTATGTCTGTGTTTTGTTTCTCTTGCTCGACATGAAGCTTGAGCCCATCTTCAGGAATTATAAGACATTACCTAGAAACCCAGTTTTCTGGGTTCTTTTTAAAAATGTGAAGATCTGTCAGTGTTAAACTATGATTCCCAAATGGTAACACTTGGCTAAGGAAGACAGGCCTCTATCTATCTTCTCTCTTTTCTTCACACGGGGTATATGCTCCCTGATGCCACAGACCCCACCACTCCCAATTGCATCCTTTGGCTGCAAGGCATAGGGTCCTTCGCCATTTATCACCACCCTGGATGTACTGTTAGGATCCTTGTGGTAAAGAAAAGGTGCTGAGCCTATGTCTCTAAAGCAGAACAATGGACAACTGAAAATATGCAAGAGCTTCTGGGGATTTCAAGAAAATGGGAGGGGGCATTTTTGTGTGCATGAAATTGGGCACTCTTGATCTATGTTTAGTACTTGGCCTCCCCCCTTTTGATGCTTCCAGCCAGGCGCCTGTAGGGGGTGTTCTTCCTCCCACTCTCCCAGCCTCATCTCCTTTGTCCTAGTAGCCCCCTGTCAAGCCCCCCCCCACCCCCTGCTCATGTCCCACTCCACAGAGAGAAGGGCTTCCTCTCTCAGTCTTTGCTCCCCTCCTGCAGATCAAGTATCTCAGACTCAGAGGGACACTCATGCAGGATTTGTCTCCCTTGTCCAGGAACTGATGACTCTGAGGAGAGATGAGCTGCTCGTGTCCTAAAGGGGCAGAGTGACCGGGTGGGCCTGCTGTGGTTCAGGCTCCCATGAGCCACAGCCGCTCTGGTTTCCCAAACAGCAGGCATACTTTGCCAGGATGGGCATTTGTCATTCATTTTTCTCTCCAGAGACTATAAACTCTAGGCCCCTGTGAGGAATGGGTGTTGCTCCTGTTTTCCTTTTGAAACAATAACCCTAGCATTATGTGCTGGAGAGCATTTGCTGCTTCCTGGATCCTAGCTCTTATTACAAGTGTCACCATACTTGATGTAAAAGGCTCTCTCGCAGCCATCCCAGATGGCTGGTCCCAAAGCATCACCCTGAGAGTAGAGGGTGAGCAGGTTCTTTTTATCCTGCCCGACTGGCACAAACACAAGTTTCCTAATGGGCACACTTACTCCTAACAGCCGCCGACACGCTCTAATCCCTCCTTGGCACTCCAGCCTCTGAGAAAGTCTGATTCTGTGAGAGGGGTGAAGTGGGGGCCAAGGGGGCCAAGGATGTCCTCTTGCCCTTGGCCTGCCTTTCACCCCCCAGCCCTGTGAACTAGAGAAAGCTAAGGAGCAGCCGGCTCTGCAGGAGGAGGGTGCCTCGGGTAGTGCCAAAGGCAAGCTGGCCTGGCTGGAGGCTGCCCTGCAGCAGGCCAAGCAGGACATGGTGCGGCAGCTGCGTGAGTACCAGGAGCTGATGGTTGTCAAGCTGGGCCTGGACTTTGAGATCGCCACCTACCGCAAGCTGTTGGCGGGCGAGGAGAGCAGGTGAGTGCTGGGACAGGCTTCAGAAGTGGGCAGGGGAGGGGAATGCAGGAGGGTAGATAGCCACCACCCTTGTCAGCCAGGAGCCAGGAGCGGTGGGGAAAGATAACTTGGGTATCCAGGGATTTATTGTCCATGAGCCAGTTTCCCCCCCCCCCCATTATTTTAGAGCTCCTTTGAACAAAAAGTTAAAGGAGTGGGGTGACCCTTCAAGTCTTCCCCTCCCAGGCCCCCCAGAATTAGGTAGTAGGGGCAAGTTTGTCCATGAAGAAACTAAGGCTTAGCCTGTGGGAATAGGTCCCCAGAGTGACTGATTGCCTTCTGCGCACTGCCTTTTTCCCAGGCCTGGGAAGGCAAGGTTGGTTTTTAATCCAGTAGACCATAGTAGGGAACAAAGATGCCAGCATGAGTTGGGCATACCAGGCGCTGATCACTCACCCATTGCACGATCTCCTACTTTAAACCCCACAAAAACCCTGGGTGGGGGCACTATATCCCTATTTTAAAGATGAGGAAACCAAGTCTCAGAGAGGCTAAATGACAACCCCAAGGCCACACAGGGAGACAGTGAGGCTCCAGCAATGTTCTTCAATAATTGAGTTACCTCCTCTGTAGTCTCCTTGCAAAGTTTAAGATGCCTCCCTCAGGGTCTCACCTTCTAAGGTCAGGTTAGACCAAAGAAAGGGTGTTTATCTTTTGCTTTCTCCCTCCTCCAAGAAGTCATCAAGGAAAGTGGGTTATATGAGTTTAAGGCAGGAGGGATTGAGTTTAAAGGCTTGGAAAGAGTTTTGACTCAAAGGATGGTGGGGATCAGAGTCAAGGTGCTGGCAGTGTGGAAAGACTGCCTGTTCTGGAAGCTCAGGAGCGTCTGCTGGAGAATGGAGGATGTCAAACCTAGCCACTAGAAGAATTCACCTGCTGCCTTCTTCTCCCCACAGGCTTGGTCTGGGATTTGGGGCAGGGAGCGTCCGTAAGTAGACAGCAGGCTTGACTGGTCCCAGCACTCAGCTCCCTTTATTTCCTGGCCCTCATCCCCACTCCTCACCTGTGTGCCCCTCTTCTCCGAAGAGAGAAGCAGTGTGTTTCTGTCCTATGTCTGAGACTGCTCCCCTTTTCTCCTTTTGGGGGTGATTTTGTGTGTTTGTGTGTGTTGAGGGTGTCCTGGAGTCTGTTCTTTGGGGAACGGGGTCTGTGTATCTCTTCTTTGGGGCAGTTTGCACATCTGTCTCTTGGTGGGGAGGAGGGTCGGAGCATCTGTCGACTGGAGGAGAAGTCTGTATGTCTGTCTGCTGCGGTGGGGGTGAGGCCCAGGAGGACTTCCCTCCTTCCGACCGCCGATCTTTGCTCAGCCCCCGGCAGCAGCGTTCCTGCCAGCGGGCCCGGGCCCCGCCCGGACTCCCGCCCTAGCGCCCTGGAGACGAGCGCCCCTGGCGGCGGTTGCGCGCTCTGCGGCTCCGCCGGCTGTGCTGGGGACTTGAGCTGCGGCGGCCCCAGCGGATGTTGAGCCCTTCCGCCCCGCTCCGAAGAAGACAAGGAACCCCAGCTTCTGACCCTAGAGACTTGGCCTTTTGTCTCAGACTCCCTCTCCTGTGGAGCTGGCCCCTATCTCTCCTCTCCCTCTTGCCCCCCCACCCTGGAGTGTAAGGTGTTGGAGCACAGCTTAACAGCAGAACCATCGCAGATCCGTCCCCAGCGTGGAGATAGCAGACACTGGTGCCACTGGGTTGGCCTGTAGCTTACCTGGACCCAGCACCCTACTGCTACGAACTGCCCCCACCCCTCTTTTCCAGGGACTTCTTCTCTGCAATAAACATTGTGCAGTGGGCAGAGCTGCCAGGGTGTCTGACCTGGATTACCCTGGCCATTCATTCACAGAGCACAGACAGAAATGTCTAATTGGGGGCCAGAGGGTCAACAGTACCAGGAAGCAAGCCTTCCCTTGTGTTAAGTGGGTCCTGGTAACAAGTTTATGGTGATTTGATGTTATAGTACCCGGATCTTTTGTGTGTGTTGCGGGGAGGGGGTCGCTCAGAGGGCCCTGGAGAAGTGAGAGAAGCAGTTAATTCATGCAGGAGGGTCTAGTCTGGGGTCCACATTCCTCTTGTATGGGCAGAGGAGCTGAGAACTGCATTCACTGGTCCATTCATTCACTCATGGATTCATTCACTTTACAAATCCTTGTTGAATAGTGCTTGGCATTAGACAGTGAGCAACACACCCTCTGGTACTGGCTCCCTGCAGGTGAGGTGTTAGGTGGGAGGCAGGCCAGACACAAACAGATCAGAAAGAGAACAGGGCTCTGGAGGACAGGCTCTGGGACAGAAGGCCCTCACAGATTGGGGTTGGGGGGATATGAACACATTTGGGTGGCCCAGGCCTTGATTCTAGTTTAACAAGTGAGCCGGTGGTGGGCAGGAGAACAACTTAGTATGGTGAAAGACAGCGTGGGCTTTGGAATCAGATGGAGGCTCTGACTCTGCCTTTACTTCCCTATCTGGGGTGTAGTTTGGTCTGATTTTTCACAAGGCAACTGGACTTTGGAGGGCAGAAGATAGTCCAGTTTAGTGGGTAGGGTGGCCAGAGAAAGGCTGGGTTTCTGGCCTGTCCTTGCCACGCAAGCTGGAGAGAAGCTTCTGTTCCATGAGTTCACATTCTTTTCTATTGCACAAAGGATTACATCATCAATGCATCTTGGGAACAACAGTTCCTACTTTCTGTGTCCCTGGGTGAGGCTAAGGTGCGTCATTGGCCAGAGGCCTTGGCTTTACCTTTTAAGGTACTCTAGTGCCAGCATGTCTGCTGTGTTTCTGCTGGGTCCCTGCCCAGAGAACAGGTATCCAAAAGGTCCTCTTCCTGGATAAACAGAACAGCCTCATGAAAGAGGAATGGGATGGAAACTGGGCTGGCAAACTTCTCCCCACCTGAGAGGTAGAGGACGTGGCCCCACAGGGCTCACACATCAGTCCCAGTCAACCATACTGACCCGCTCTATTTGTATAAATATTCTTTTTTTTCTTTCTTTCTTTTTTTTTTTTTTTTTTGTATAAATATTCTTACGAACATTCCCAAAGCAAAACGGCTGTCTGAAAGCAGAGCTGCCCAGCTCTCTGTTCCTCGCATTGTGGTAGGAGGTAATGAAATTGTATTCTAGGTCACGTTTCTCCAGCTCCTACTGGATGATCACATTAACAAAGGAACTTTGTCACCAAGGACTGTAGGCAGGATGCACATTCTGCTACCTGCATTCCTGGGGACTGGCTGCCCACATTTCTCCCCTAACTCTAAGCCTAGACTTGGACATCTCAAGTGCTTTGGGATCAGGTTTGAGTCCCTTCCTGGGCCAGGGCGTGTAGGTCACCAGCAGTGTTTGTGGTTTGGGGACCAATTTTCTGAGAGGCTACCCTGGCCATATGCCACATTCCAGCCTGGGGTGGGAGACAACTACCTAGTGCTTTTATGGAGAGTCATTCACTAGCCCATTATAAGCTTTGTGACTCAGGGTGACTTCCAAAGGGAAGGGGGTTGTCACCAGTTCAGTCATTGCTCCTCCGCAGAAAGGGACCAAAAGGGGTCAGTCCTCTGGGTTCCCCATGTCTGCTTCACATTTCATAGCACTGAAACATGTCAGATGCTAACTAAGCTGTGTTCACATCTTCACTGAGCCCCTCAAGGCTGGTGACTGTCTCATCCATCTATCTCACAGTAGATGTGAACTGGCTGAGGCACTGTGGTCCTGGTTGCTCTTCCCTATCCTGGGGGACATGGGCCTTGTTTTCCCACCATTACTATTTCTCATCCTACATACCCCCTATGGAATCTAAGTGCATTCATTCCTGCTGTGATTCCAGCTGCATGATATCAACCAGACCAGCCTAGAGTAGGGACAGAAGGGCCTGGATTCTGTTCCCTGTCTTGCTCTTACCTTGACCAAACTGTTCACCTGTTTCTGAGCCTCAGTCCTGCTCTTCCCCAGACCCAAATGGTGAATCTAAATGTTTTCCTCTTCTTTTCCTCCCCACTCAGCTTTTCTGAGCTGAATTTTACTGTAAAATAGAATACCTATCATAGGATTGTTTGAGAATTAAAGATACTACTGTTTGTTAAGTTCTTAAAACACAGAAAGAGTTGTATTTCTGTAATTAATACTTTACTTAATGGAGTTCTTTGGAAAGGTTTTGAGCACCTTTAAAGAAGGTTCTGCCAAGTCTGAGGTCAGCTGATGATGATGCCTGTCGGTGCCTGCCCACTGCTACTCCCACCTTAGCCCAGTTCTCCATCTGTGACCCCTGCCTCAGCCACATGGGTCTGGGTCTGCTCATGTACACATACGCACTCATGTCCACAGGTACACACAAATCCCTCTCTTTAGTAGATAGACAGATCCACACATTTGCATGTATAATCACATGCGTAGAAACCCTCACATTCACGTGTACACACAGAGGCCTGGAGATATGCATAGACCTGGATGCAATCATATTGTCCCACTTGAAGACAGCTGCCTGTAGACACAGCAGCGCAGAATGAGTATACAGATAGCAGGTACGTGCACTGCACAGCTGCCTGGAATCCAGATTCCCCATTTCCCTCTAGTTCCTAATCCTGTCCCACTTCTCCTAAGGAATAACAGAGTTTTTAATTGGTAAGGGACACCAGCAGCCATCTAGTCCAAACATTTTATTTCATTAGAAAATATGCTAAGGCCCAGAAAAGGGAGGTGTCCTGCTATAGGCCATGCAGTTAAGTGTCACGTTTTCTTCACCTGTCTGCACCATGGTCGTTGTGTATTTGATTCATCCCCCATTGCTCCTCTGCCCAAGCTTGAGAGTGGGAACCTAGAGGGAGACAGGGTTGTGGAGCTGCAGTGGAAAAGAACTAGAAGGAGGGAGAGGGTGAAGGACGGCAGGTCACCAAGGGCCAGCTGGCTGGATGTGACCAGTGAGACACGAAGGGGCGGAGTTGTAGTTGGCTTCTGAACTGGGGAGGACTGGGGGACTGCAGCTGATTGCGCCTCATGTCTGGATCCCTGACAGGGACTCCCCCTGAGCTGTGTGGTATCACAACCTAGAGGGCTGGTTGGGATGATTACATACTCTGGAATTCTCCAGGGTTCTGTCCTGCTCCAGATTCCATCAGTAATGGCCAGGAGACCTTGGCTTGGTCCTACCCCTTACAGAAGCCTTTGTCTTTTCAGACCACCCATCTCTGGTCTCTCAATATTCCTAATTATTCCCACTGCCCTGAGTGGTACAAGTGGGGAGCTTCCATTTCTGCTACATTCTCTGGGCCTTGGACTGGAAGTTTAGAGATTCGCCAGCTGTAAAGATGTTTGTTCAGTGACTCACCTTGGCCCATCTGCCATCTTCCCACCTCTATCCACCAGCTATGATATCCTGGTCCCTATCAGGTGAATACATCCCTGCATGAAGGAGCTCGACTGCCCTGGCAATAGTGGAGATTTCTCTGTGTACTTGCAATCTCTGATCACAGATATAAGTGTAATAAGAGGCTGGCCATGGCCCTAATCCTGGAGGGACCTCTACTTTACATTCTGCAAAAGAATAATACTAATGATAAGGCACATGTAATGATTATTTTGTGGCACATACTGTTTATGTATTTTATGTATTTGGAATTGCTTAATGAATTAGATGCTCTTTATATCATCCTCATTTTAGAAACATGGGCTCAGGCATAGAGAGGGTGGGTACATTGCCAAGATCACTTAGGCAGGAAAGGCCAGAGCCTAGCTTGGACCCAGGCAGTCTGGCTCGAGTCTGTGCTTCTACCTTGATGTTGCCAAATCATCTTCTTGGTATGTGCTTTCTGTCCTTGAGGAAATGTATGAGCTATGGCAGGTCTCCAAACCCCAGAATGACTCCATTAAAAAAAGAAAGCCACATTGAAGACTTTTTGCAATGTTAAATCATATTCATGTATTCATCCCTTAAAGAATTCCAATAAATTATTCAGGCATGAGTTTTTCCCAACAAAGCAATGAGTGATCTTTCCTTAAGCGCTGAGTTTTATTATTCATAGGTTTACAGATGTGCATAGGACGCTTTCTAGGAGGCAGCTGTGTTTGGGGACATGAGCACTGAAGACACACATAGGGTTTGAACCACCAAACTCAGTGAGGGACCCTACTCCAGTTATTGTCTCTGAGTTCTGGTTTCTTCATCTGCAAGACGTATCATCATGGTGGTGTGGATAAAGTTACATCACGCAGGGGCTTAGCACAACCCTCCACTAGATCTGAGACTAGTATGGCCCGAGGGAGAGAATTATGGAGACTCTATGCCTAGGCCTTTCTCTGCCCCACATACCTTTGGGGGCCCTGTTGAGTCCCAGTCCCTGAGGAAGTTAGCAGAGACGCAGATGAGACTCAGGGTTGGCTACATTGATTTATTGGAAATACAGATGAAGACAGATATACAGGACAGAGGAGGAAGGAGAGAGGCCGGGGGCTCTGGCCATTGGTCCCCTGGTTAAGGCACTGGTCCTCTCTGCCTCTGAGCTCCCTTCCTGTGGGCTCCAAAGGAATTCCTTTCTTGGGTAGCCTTTCCCAGTGTGGGGCTTCAGAGTCAAGGAGCAGAGGGTCACATGGGGAAATGAGAGACCAGGAGTGGGAGAGACCTTTCCAAGTGTAGGAGAAGGGACTGAGCACTTGCTCCAGGTGCCTGGCCTGGGGTGGGGGGTGAGATGGGCAGGGCAGGAGCTGGGAACTTAACATTTCCGGCAGCTGCTGCTGCAGGAGCCCACGCCTAAGGAACTGATGCCACAGGAGCCCACTCCGCAGGTACCCAGGCCACAAGACCTGACTGAATTGCAAGGCGCGCACATCCCGGTGCTCACTGCCAGGTTACCGGTGCAGGGGGCACTGCACACACTGCCCGTTACAGGCCGGGAGCCAGACACGCAGAGGTCTCCGCACACGACCCCGCCCCGGGAGCTGCTGACACCTGTGAACCCCCAAAGCTGAGTCAGAATTCTGGGGGCAAGCTGTTTCCCCTCCCTGACCACCAGCCCTGCCCAAACCCTGGGCTCTGGATATTAAACGTCAGGAGCCTCTTTAGTTGACAATTCTAGTTCTATCTAGTCAGAAAGCTATGATCTTCCCTGCTATCCTTAAGTCCCTTCTGCTGGGATGTCAACCCACTCCCATATCTGCTCTCAGTGAAATCCCTCCTTTCGGATTATGCCCTCCATCCCAGGGAGGGACTAAGTCCATCCAAACACCAGGCCCAAATACTCACAGACATTCACAGCCCCAACGCCTTCGCACAGTCTGAGGGTGGAGGAGAAAGAAGCAACGTTAGTAACCAGGCCAAAGCGGCTAACAGGGTGCGGTCCCCAGTTGGTCAAGGAGTTAGGGGCAGAGAGTCTGACTAGCCACTCACCCCAAAAGTGATAAAACATAGGTTTCTTCCCACAGAGTCTTTGCGACTGTTCAGCCAGGGGCAAGATAGGGCTTGTGCAAGGAATAGGCACCAGTGGCTCTGACCCAAGCTGGACCCACCTCTGCTCCTCGCCCTCCAGCAGGCGCCTGTAGGTGGCGATCTCGATGTCCAGGCCCAGCTTGGAGTTCATCACCTCCTGGTACTCCTTGAGCAGGCAGGCCATGTCCTGCTTGGCCTTCTGCAGGGCGCTCTCCAGCTCGGCCAGCTTGCAGCGGGCGTCAGTGAGGGCCGCCTCACCCTGCTGCTCAGACTGGGTCACGGCAGCCTCCAACTTGGAATTCTGGGGGCCCAGAAGACAACAAGGTTCATTATGGTTCTAGGTCTCTCTGTCCAATACCTGGATTTGTCCAGTTTTTCCATCCAGCTAGGAACACGCCAGAAACAGGGTCTCTGGCCTTATCACATGGGTGTCCTTGAGTGACCAGAACAAGGGACTCTACATATGCAAATGGGCAGAGAATGTATGGTGAGACCCAGATAGGGCACACCTGGGCTCTGTGACTCAGGGTACGGCCTCAGCCTCTGTGGTCTCAGGCCCAGGTGACCCATACCTGGCACTTGGCGTTCTCCACCTCGGCTGTCAGCCTCTGGATCATGCGATTCAGCTCGTTGATCTCCTCCTTGGTGCGGCGCAGGGTCTCCCCGTGCCTGATCACCGTAGCCTTCATCTCCTCACACTGGGGGAAGCAGAGATGCTCATGAGGCTCAGGATGGGACATGTCAGCCATTCAGGACCCAGGGTGATTGTGCAGGTTGTGCAGTGCTCAGCCTGTGCAACCACACATGGCAGTCCCGCCTTGCCATCCAAAGCTCACAGAGGCAGCCTTTCTCTTGCCATCCCTAGGGATCAGAATCCCCGGACTGAAGAAGCCCTTTCTAATAGACACCTTTCATCCCTCCCACTGCCATGTGTAGGAGGCAGGTGTCCTGTGCCACTCACCTTGCTGCGGTACCAGGACTCGGCCTCGGCCCGGCTACGGCTGGCAATGTCATCATACTGGGCCTTGATCTCAGCAATGATGCAGTCCATGTTCAGGTCCCGGCTGTTGTCCATCTTGACAACCACCGAGGTGTCTGAGATGTGGGCATGGAGAACGCGGATCTCCTGTGGGAGATGGGGAAAGGGGTGGTAGGAGCTCATTTAGGCCACAGCCCCCCCCCCCACCATAGCCTGTGCCCCTCTTCTCAGACCTTCCCTGACCCCAGGGCCCTGCCACCTCATAGCCTCACCCCTCTCAGAACCTTATAAACTGCAGTGCCCACCACATCCCTGCCCAGCAGGACAACCCCCACCCAACTTCCCTCTCCTCTGCTGGCTACAGATTTCTGCCTGGCCCACGACCCCGCACCTCCTCATACAGTCGCCTCAGGAAGTCGATCTCCTGGGTCAGGGCCTCCACGTTGGCCTCCAAGTCTGACTTGCGAAGGTAGGCACAGTCCACGTCCTAGAAAGGTGGGGGGTGTGGCAGCTCAGAGGGCCCTGAACATCTACTCCACAAACTCCTGTCTCCCCTCACCCACTCCACATGGCCAGGGCTAAGGGCTCCCTAGTGCTCCCATTCCCACCTCACCCCCTTTCCTTATGCCCCTTCCTGGGATGACCTGGCATCCCCTTTCCCTCTGAGAACAGACCTCTTCATGCCTTGGAGATGGCTCGCCAGTCTCTCAGCCCTGTCCCTGACACACTATATCCTCCCCTGTCCTTTCTACCCTTTCCTGCTCCAAGAAGCCTGTGGAGACTGGGTCCCCAGCTCTGTCACCTGGCCCTTCCCTCTTCCCCAATGATCTTCCAAGGGCCATATTGCCAATACTGGCTCTGCCCCACTCTTCCCCCAAGTGCTGGTATTGTGTCCCCACATGTGAGACAGTCTGCAGTGTC